TTTAGACTGCAATACCATGTGCTTTTAAACCTCTGCTTAATGAAAGGGGTACCTAGTCAGTTATATTAACTATGTAGTGTGTTTGTTGATAAGTTAATTTTTTGAAAGAGGTGTAAATTTTAAGCTTACTTTTATTGCTAAAAATTATTTTTAGAAAAATATACTATTTGTACACCATTATGTTTTATATTTGCATCCATAATTACTGACCAACTTCATTATGCTTTTATCTTGGCTGCTAATAAAATAATGAGGTGCAAATATTCATGATATAAGACAAAGCCAAATTGGAGTTAAATATTTGGATTGAATTAAGTTTCATTTTAAAAATGTTCTTGAATAGTATTTTTGCTTTTATCATTTAGGAGCTAAGTATGCAACTCAAGATTCAAAACTTTAGAGGAAATAATTGTAGAAGCAGATGCCAATTTAATTGTTTTCTTCTTGCAAGAATTTAGATGCTCAGTAGTGCTATAAATTTGTTTGAATTATTTTCTCTATAAAAGATATAAAAGGGGAAAAAATTGTGCAATAGGTTGTCTTGTTAAGTTACGTGTTGCTACAATATTTTGTCAAAAAAATGTTAAACAAAAAAAGTTCGACATTTTTGTTTGAATTTTATATTTGCTATGTGCATTACTCCTCAAGCATAATGACCATTTTAATTAATCATACCACTCATTATACATCATGTTCATAACAATAAACTACAAAATGCTCATATAAAAACAAGAAAATGCAAAAAATAATGAAATAAAAACTGTTAAATATTATTTACTGTGTTTGTTTGAATATATAGGATTGGCTCTATAATTTAGTTTGTTTGCGGAAAAAGGAATCAAAAAATAAATTGCACGCTTTATGAAAGCTGAAGGCATGTCAAATGGGAAAACTGTGAAAAAGCCTGGAAAACATCAGACTTACTGTAGCCTCAGTCTAAACTTAGATTTAGCTGTTTGAGTATGTTTGGATATTAATACGAGCCGCAGTGATCAAAAAGTTCACGAACTAATTGAATAACTTCCATAAAAGAAACAATATATGGTTTCAGTGTTGATTATATTTGAAATTAGTCCCCTCCAATTTTAATGCACATCTGCCACCGTTCTACTCATGAGCGAATCACGTGATATAGGCCGTCACGTGACCCCCTCCGTAGCGTTCTGTCACAAATTTCTGAGTTTTGTATTTCTTTCCGTGTAAGTTAATTTTTATAACAAGAACAGTTCATTTGTCAGAATGGTCAATTCTCGGCAACGGAATGTGTGGATAAGAATATCCTTTCCAAATATAAACATGGCGGCCATCAAAACCCAAATCCTCTGTCTCTCGAGAGACGTTTATTCAAGGTGGAAAGAGAATGTGTGCCTCCTTTTGATCATATCTAATATGTTTTAAATCCAAAGTAAACGATATCTTAGGAATTTAATAATTATATTATTGTTGAAATATTCAGCTATTTTACAAAGTGTAATTTGGAGGTCTTTGATAGAAAATTGCTTAATTAAAAACACATTTCAAACTTGCTTTCACTGGGCAAAATGAAAGGTATCATTTTTAACCAACTGCCTTCCTTCACTAAAACGACCAATCCAATCATTGATTAAATTCATTGGAAGTCATTTGTCTTAATAAACTGTGTGCAAATTATTATACGCTACTTCAAAGGGATTTCTAAGATATACCATAAATTTTATAGTCTTTTGTTGAACAAGTGCGACTAAGAAAACCATTTTTCGTCACAAGTGACCTACATAGTGACATCATTTACACATTGTGACGTCACAAACAAATAGCAAAATTTTATACATCATATGCTATTTATAGAAATTGTTTATGGCTATGTGTGTACCAATTTATTTTCTAATCTGAATTGTGGTTTTGTAGATATAGAGATAGTTCGCGAACTTTTTGATCACCCCTCGTATGCCTTATTTAACTATAATTTATACTTTTTGAGGATGCATCTGCATTAAGGTAAGTCACTCGTCAGCTTTTTAGAAAACTTCACGCTGAAGCTTTTACTTCAAAACTACTTATTAAAATTCAATTTTTATAACATATTTAAATTCAATAATGTAAATTTTTAAACATTTTCAAAAATCTACAAAGAAGCAAGATTTATGAGGGACTATTTCTTTTGGTGGAAGGATATTTAGCAGAAAATTCTGCAAATCTGCACATTTATAAAATTTAATGTAATGGAAATTTAACCTCACATACTTTTACTCGGAGAATATTTTCCGTTTTGATATTGCTAAAAATATTAAATATAGGTCTTAATTTATATTTTTAGACTAAGTTTTACACCTTCCCTCTACAAACTTTTTGAAAATATATTAAAGAAGTCAAGATCAAATTTATGAAAATCACATATTTTGACAAATATTTCAAAATTAACATCACTGACCCCAACATTTTCTTTCGTTATTTTAAACTACTCGATACTTGTAACTGATCAGCACTAAAGTCGTAAAAAGTTTGATATAAGAAATTTTTTTATTGCCTATTAAGTTTTTTAATACCCCAAAAATGTTATTTTTTAGTGCAAAAAGGTCACATAATAATTTTCGCGCATTAATTTGCAAGATTTGTTTAATGATAAATATTATTCAAACTATTTTACGTAAAATAAGATTATATTTATTGCCATGCTTACATTTGATCAAATATAATAAGGGTTAAAGTAATTAACCAAAAAGATGAAATTTTAGTGCAAAAAGGTCAACATAAATGTACCGTAGATCAGTAGGATACACACTGACCCCCTATTTTCTTTGCAATTTTTAGTTACACTTTATGAGTACTTATCCAAAATATACTTCTTAAAAAATCCTTGATATAACAAATTTCAGGAGTGACTTACCTTAATATGACTTTATTGGTATTCCAGAAGGTTTTTGAAGACTTACCATAGCCCAGAATCAAGTTTTGATTAAACTTTAATCTTCACTACCTGAGGATGCTTCCTTATCAATAAGAATTCAATAATCAAGGCTTTGCTGCTCATAAGAAGAGTCTTTCTATCATATTCCTGTGTTAAAAGTAATTCCCGTTGGTTCTGCATTACCCTTTAACAAACATATCTAAACAACTGAAGATGCTTCCGTATACAAGTACTAGTATGCCTTAAATGGCTTGCTGTTCTTAGATATTTTTAAATATTTTTTCCCAATATGCTCCTTGCCTATGTTGACTTCACACTAGCTCCAGGGACTGTTTTCAAACACTTTCTACATTACCTACCGATGCTTTCTTATTAATGTGAGTACAATAATCATGGCTATGCTGTTTTTCATCAGAGATTTTTAAAGACATTTTTCCCTACTAGATATATTTCTATAAAACTTAAATTGCCAAAATGTGGACCAACCATACCTGTGGTGATTATGATTTGATCAAACTTCAAGTAAGCAGCAGATCTGTATCTCTCTGGTCTGAACAAAATTGGGATGGACGACCATCCCCATTTTTTTTCAGACCAGAGTTACAGGTCTTGAGATATGAATTGGAATCATAACTTTGTTTTTTGAGATTTTTCCCCCAGATATTAATGTGAAGAACTTGAATCACTCACAGTGACCCCATCCTCCCATGGTTTAATGATTTCTACACTACCCGAAGTTTTTTTTTCCCTATGACTATTTCCTATAATGGCTTTGCTATTCTTGAAGATTAAATTAATTATCACTAGATGTAAAACATTGACCGCCTTATGTGGCTTTGCCCTTGCCCGAGGATAATGATTGAACAAATCTGAATTTAAACGTGCATGGACACAGATTTGAAGTTAATATTTTCTGTATAATATCACGAATTATACATTTTAAATTTTTAATAGCATTTTACACAAAAATATATTAAAAATTTTATTTCATCTACAAGTTATTGAAACTTCAAATTTTTGGATGGGTTCGATTAACCCACCCTTGCACTCTCACAAATTTCAATTTAATAAACGTTTATTCTTAAAACTTTGAAAAGTGGCAATCTTGTTGTGTATTAGTGAAAAATATTAAAACTTTAATCCAGAAAAATAATCATATTCAGAGTAAAAATGTTAGAAAGCAAAACCCCTTCACAAGTATCGTCATTCCGCGTTAAGTATTGTGTACAGAGTTTAGCAAATTGACCACGCCCGTGAAACGTACACAGTTTTTGTAAACAGGGCACGAGCTCTGTTATTGTTGATGTTTACGATTCACCGGGTGCTTTCAATTGTTAAAGTCTCCTTACCACAACTGCACGAACTGACAATATACTGTATGTATGTTTTGCTTTCGAACATTTCTACTCAGAATTTTCTGGATTATAGTTTTAATATTTTTCATTTATACACAACAAGATTGCCACTTTTCCAATGTATTAAGAATAAAATTAAGATTTGTGACAGTGCAAGGATGTGTCAATCAAACCCGTCTAAAAAATTTTAAGTTTTAATAACTTTTAGATGAAATAAGATTTTAAATATATTTTTGTGTGAAATGCTATTAAAATATATGTCGTAATATAATACGGAAAATATTAACTTCAAATCTGTGTCCATGCACCTTTAATCCATGCACTTTAATAAAGTTTTTATACAAGTTAAACCATTTTTTTGCCCAATGGACCGAAGAAATTTTTATAAAAGATATTAAAAAAATTTTGGTAGTTCTTATTACATATATGTACCTCCCCTGAAAGAAGTCATGATCCTCACTTGAACAAACTGGAATTCTTTTCACCAAAGGATTCTTTGTGGTAAGTTTGGTTGACATTAGCCCATTACTTTGAAAAGAAGTCGAAAAAGTGAAAGTTTTTATCAGAAAAATTTCGATCAGAAAACTTTCTTTCAGGAGCCTTTGGCTTAGGTGAACTAAAACAGATAACTGGCAAGGATTAACCTTTCTGTTTGCGAGTTATTTCTATTTTTACCAACAGAAATTCATTGGCATGTATGATGGTAGAAAAAATTAATAATTATACTTTTAGGCTTTCGTACATTTACATGTGTATTTCCAAACTGAAAGTAGACAACTGACAACTCAACTAAAAATGGCTGAATTAACTGCAAGAACGCTTGGTATCTTTTGTGATTGTGTCGATATTTTGATACAGGAACACGAACCAACAAAGACAGTGTTTGAAATAATAAGATCACGAATGGTACGATTTGTAGAAATACTGAAAGAAAAGTCAAAAGGCGAGGGAGACGTGGCACAAACTGGAAGTTCCTATGATGGCCTTCATTTAAGCAGACTGCTACAGTTATCGTCTGGAAAGAACGTTTTTTATCCGCCGATCGATTTTGATTTCATGATGACTTACGTAAACTACAGAATTCTTGACAAGTCTGATGACGAACCCGGAGATAACGAATTGAAACCGTTGGTGGAAGCTTCAAAAGATTTCGCAATTATGGTCCCTTCGTCGTTTCCAGGGTATGTTAAATTACTAATAACCGAAAATGGAAGGAAACTTATCAAGAAACCAAAGTGTGAATTTGAAAAACATATTACCAAAGACGGTTACATTCCAAATTTTGTGTTTAAAACAAAATTGTTCCCAGAACAATATGATAAGGTCGAGGTTCTCTATGAGCGCGAAAAATCAAAATACGTCACATCCGGTCCAGCGTTGTCCGACTACAGTCATGAATCGGATGGATATTCCTACGACTTTGTTCATTCTTTTCCATGTTTAACATGGCCTAACGTTGCTATTAACTGGACTCGTCGAAAGAAGCCTACAGGATGGCCATCAAACGATATGATCAAGGAGATAATCAAAGGTATAGTCAATTATGCAGCCTATAATCAATATTGCGGTAAATTTTCCCTTTTCTACCACTTTGAGAATGTATAACTATTGTTCGCATGGACCACAGTATTTTAGGTCAAAAGTCTGGCTACGCTCCCAGTAAATTAAATTTGGGATTAAAAATGGATTGACTTTTCCGATTTGAACTTGAGTAGGAGATTAGAGCTTTTTGTGCCAAAGTATTTAAAGAACTTGTTAAATCACATTGCCGCTGAACTTCTCACTCTGGGCTGTGGCTGTGATATTTTGCACAAGGTCGATATGTCTTTCGTTTTACAATAAAACTGTATGCCATAAAGTCATTATTTCTGCAAAGAAAAAATGTTGGAAACAACTGCAACAAATTAAATAAAGAGTAACACTTGAGCTATCATTGATGAAATATATAATGGAAATAACGAACCGTATTAAAGCTCAAAAGTTCATCAATACAAAATTTGAAGCAGATCAAACACAAACATCCAAAACATCAGAGTTGGGATCAAATGCCATGGAGGAGTGGGCACCTCTTGCTGACCAGTCACACCCACTGTGTGGTCCTTGTAATATCCGTCGAAAAATAATGGTCTAACAATTAGTATGAAAAACGTCAGTCAGTATTTGACTTAATGATAGATTTTATTTGCCGTCGAGGTCATTGTATCGACCATAGAACTTACGAAATGATGAATTCTTGTTTCGTCAACTTGTTTGTCAATAACTTACCTTTTAGTGCTTGAAAAGTAATGTCTCATTTTATTGCTTTGATTGACATGCACGTTATTTCTCTTGATACTGAATTAAGTCGGAGTACTTATATGCTCGATGTTTTCAGATGGGTGTGGCGTAGTTCCCACTGGGCATCACTTAAGTGGAGAGGCGGATCTTGAATGGAGAATTTCCTACAATTCAGCAGAAAGAAAGTTATCTCGTTCACTGTCCTCTCGACAACGATCTTGCTATTCATTGGTGAAATTCCTATTGAAAACGGGACTTAGCCAGACCGCTATTCTGACGTCATACCACGTCAAAAATATCATGTTTTGGTATTGCGAGCAAATGTATGGAGTTGATGAGTGGACAGAAGAGCTTCAAGGAAAGCGAATTCTTGATTTTATTGATTACATTATAATTTGTCTGACTAATTACAACATTCCTCAATATTTCCATCCTCCAAATAATCTGATAGTTCACAGATCAAAGGACGACATCGACAAAACACGCAAAGAAGTCGTCCTGGTCAAAGAAAGAATTTTTCAAACCTTTGTTCTGACATTATGCAAGCAACAGGTTTTTGATGAAATAAACTTGAAGGGGGTATCAGAGCGCGGAGAGGTGGGGAACATGCTTCTACTGTATACTACATTTGTACAAGTTTTGTATAAGCTTGGATTTCTGAATATTCAGCAGCCAATCGCCGAAAGATGTTTTCATAACGTTGTTTCTCTCAACAGAAGTGTTCGTACGCTTGTAAAGGTTGCTTCTCCTGCCTTCTCTGCGCAGTCCGTACCAGAATTACTTAAACCTTTTGGTCTGGCATACATGCAGTCTGGGGAGACGGAAAATGCTTTAGCTGTGTATGAAATCATGGTACGAACTGACAGAACAACAGTAGAGGCAGACTACCCAGAGGTTTTTACAAACATTGGTTGTTTATACAATTTGAAATATAGCACCTCAAAGAGTAAAAACGACAGAAGTACTTTTCTAGCACGAGCAGAAGACAATTTTCAGAAAGCATTAGGACTGATTAAGGACTCCCCAAGCCTACATACAGCGTACGGAAGCTTTTTGCTGCACTCTAAATCCAATACAAAACTAGTGCTAATTGTAACGGGGACCGTTACAGATGTTCCCCAAACGCTCCCCAACTCCCTTTTGGTGCCATATCCCCTGTAAGAATTATTAAATAAGACAAACTCGACGCATTTGAGACTTTAACAACGTTTACCCAGAAGTGTACCAAGTTCATTCAAATTTTAGCATTGCACGCGTGTGCGTGTGAATGCATGTGCGTAATGACCATATCATATTGTCTACACAATCTATTTATTTTAATATAGTAAATATTAAAGTATTTAATCCAAAAGTATTAAAAAATACGCTCATTCAAGTGTATTTTTTATTTTACTTATTTCACGTGCACGCACGTGCATACATGAGCATGGTGACAATACCCTCTTGTAGAAGTCCATTACATCTATCTATATTCTAAATCCCACCCCGTTTGGTTGAAAACCAAGGGAGTTATAGCTGTTTAAAGTTTCAGCCAATCAGATTGCAGCACATGTACACGCACGTGTATGCATGTGCGTGCTAACCATACCTTCTTGTAGAGGTCTATTATATCTATCTATGTTCCAAATCCCATCCTGTTTGGTTGAAAATCAAGGGAGTTATAGCTATTTAAAGTTTAAGCCAATCAGATTGTAGCGCACGTGCATGCACGTGTTTTCATGATAATTGCTATATATCATGTTGTAGGATATCCTACTGTATGGCTATGTTCAAAATTTCAAGGGATTTCGTCAAAAAACAAGAAAGATATAGAGACTTTAGTTTCAGCCAATCAGAGCGAAGTGCACGTGCATGCGCGTGAGATCTTGCAATTTTGACCATGTCATATTGTCTATGCTACTAATATATCCTTATATTATGAGTTTCAAAGCATTTCATCAAAAATGTAAAAAGCTATGCCTATATCAATAAAATCGGTCATTTCACAAGTTGCACGTGCACGCTCTTGCAAGCACGTGCGCGCAAAATGACCTTCGTTCCGCAAATCTACATAACATGCCTACTAACCCTAAAAAGGTTTTACCTAAGTCGGATGTGTAGTTTACAAGATCACTCCCGGACAAATAAGTACCCAGGAAGAAGAAAAATAATAATAATAATAAGAAACAGAGTAAAAACAATATGTTCCCCAACTTCGTTTGGGGAACATAATTAGCAATTAAACAATTTCGGGCATCCCTTGCTATTTCAAAACCGCGGGCAGAGGACGATATGATAGTACAGGTTGAGTTACCTAGTCAGTCAGAAGTTAAACCATTAAAGGCAAACATGGCCGGGAAAGTAGCTTCCTGCTATATGCTCTGTGACTGCCTGATTAAGTCAGACGATATTTACGAAGCAAGACGGGTAGCATCGTTACTAGAAAGGATCGTAGAAACATCTCCGGTGAAACAAAAACAGTCTGATTTGCAAATTTGTTCCATTGTGTATGAAAGATGTGGTTTGCATGTGAAAGCAGAATTGGTAAAGAACGAGTCGAAAAAGTACGCTGGCATGTAGATTTGGAGAAAATAGCAATATGACGTCACGGCTTACTCCTGTATATGTACGTCCAGCGAATATCGGAACAAAATGTATTTTCATTCAGACTGAAAAGGAAACAAACTTTCTGAGATAGTTTCTGCAAAGTGAATGGGTTGGATATGAAGGTTTAACGTTCCTGTGGCGGTTACATTGGGAACGCTGTTTCTGACCTCCACAGAGATGTTTTGCAAGAAATCCATGACAGGACTCTCCAACAAAACATAGACTTTTTATGATGAAATACAATTATACATTATGTACTCAGAACTAAATACTCTCAATGAAATATATGGAGAGAACTAATAGTATTCAAGCTTAAAAGTTCATTCAAACAATACAATTCAGGAGTAAAGAAAACACAGATCTCTAAAATATCAGAAGTGGAGCAGGTGCCATGAAGAAGCGATTATCTTATGCCGACTGGTTACACCCACCGTGTGCTCCTTGTCATGAGCGGGAAATAACGGAAACATTCATCGACAATTCGATGTTTAAATAACGGTCTAACAATTAGTACGATAAACGTCAGTCAGCATTCGACTTAATGATAGATTGTACGTGTTTTTGTTGACAAGGTTATTTTTCTACCAATGAACTCTTTAAGAGAGATTATTTCTATTCTTGTTTCATCAACTTGTTCGTCAATAACTTACCATATGATAGGAATGTGTTCATACCCAGAGCATGTTAACGTTTTTGCATATTGAATCAACTGATAAATACAAACCCTGATGCAGGTGATAAGAGTATTTTGCCACACAAGTAAGGGAAGTTGACGAATGAAAAGCCAATAAGGCATAAAGTTTTGTTATGAGGTTAACATTGACGTCTTCTGGTAAAATATCTTCATATGGAATTATTTCAACCTCACTGGGTGTATATCGTGTCGATATATGAATGGAAATAACTACATATACTGAGTATTGTTCATTGATTAATAATCAATAATGAAGTAAAACATATGCAAATGGTAAACTACAGGTGACTCTCGATGGCTCGAACTCCGATCTCTCGAAGTTCTCGATCTCTCGAAGTGAACCTCCGGTCCCGTTTTTTTCCTTTATATAATTAAGCAAATTTACTCCTGATCTCTCGAACTTCTATTTCTCGAAGTTCTCTTTCTCTCGAACCAAAATCTTGGTCCCCTTACACATATTTCATTGAATTTTACTCTCAATCTCTCGAAGTTTTGATTGCGCGTTTATACGCGCCAATCAAACGTTAAATTGATGCAGTCTGGACTTACCTGAAAACAATGAACGCCTTAGGCTGGAATGGAGGTGTTAATTGGGTGTTTACATAGATGACACTACACCTATGGGTCGTCCGTGTTTTGATATAATTAATTGGTTTATTAATTACAGGGTAGATAATAAACAAATTCACAACTTATTTTGAATTGAAACTGAGACGATAATTTTTAGAAATTTAATTTATAGATGTTCGTTTCAGTAAGTTCCGATAGACTATGAACTTTTATTATGATTAAATAGAGTCTAAATAATTCCAGAATGGCAAATATTGCACAAGAAAATTCCTTTCTCAAGGACTGATTACCGATTAAGAAAAATCTGGTGAACACTGACGAAGGACCCGATCAAGCCACGGAATAGCCAAACCGAGAATTAATATTGCTATTCGGGTTTCATGTTATCATGAAATAAGAACAAATAAATACTGAAACCTTAGAAATTCGTTTTATTTATTCGAAATACAATCATTGTTGTTGATATCACGTAAATTAGGCGACCATAATTTGATTTTTAGTTTTACGGATCCGCCGACTCTAAAAATTTGCATTTCAAAAAAAAAATAAAATCGGAATTTTTCAATCCGCTCGTGTCAAACCTGTGTTTTATAAAAGCAAATCAGTCAGAAACGTAAAAAAAAAACACATGTGCAGAATGGTAGGAGAAGGTGAGCTGTCAACTTTGATTTTATCGAGAGTCTACCAATTCTGAAACCTCCCCATCGCATGTCTCTCTCTATTTTTTTTAATTGCTGTTTCTACCGATTTCGAAAATATCCGGATTTTTTACCTTCTTCGATTTGTAAAATACCGACAAGTCAAAACAAAAATGGCTGTCATGCAGTGTTTACCGGTAGCTAATCTGCTTATTGCCACTGATAACAGGTAATAATCAAGGTGTCAACTGTGCTACCAGATGTAATTGCAGTTCTAATTGCTCATTATCCTCATAAAAAGTGTTTTTTTTATCAAAGACAGAGATACCAGATGTGGAAATTTTGCAAAAAAAGGGCGGTAAATAACGATATGAATTTTTTTGATACTTTGCTGCAAACAAGTTTATATGCGCCTAAAACAAAACAATTCCTCCATAAATAATACGGTGACCAGGAAAGACATAAACTATAGTACTTTATTAATAATTTAAAGAGGAAATGAAAGCAAGTACATGGTAACTAATAAAGAGTCTGCAGAGGGAACACTGCGTATTATGAGATTCAGTGACTTAGCAAATCCTACATCAACACCAGTATATAAAAGCCCTTGAAACTGCAGAGCAACTTGACAGTACCTGTAGAAGACTTCTTTGAATTTAAGTAGCTAAACAGGGTAATAAAGTTTCTGAATTTCAAGATATAATATTAGCAGATTGGAACAGGACTACAATAATGCTTTGATATCATATGTACTAAGAGTGAAAAAAAGAATGCAGGATCTAAGAATCCATCTAATTCATTCTCAATAGATTACGCATGTAATTTTTAAAAATGTATAAAGTTTTAAGTTTGGCTAACAGGTACTTCCAATTCCTTCAATTTCAGGTCTTTATTAAATCCAGGAAACAGTTGTCTTGCTCCTTATAATGAGAAAAATCCATTCATCCATCAGTTAAAAGCTTGAAACTCAGATCGTCTGCAGAATATTATTAAATCTTTTAATTGCCAAGTTAAACTTCGATATTTACCCTGAATATTATTCAAATGACATTCAAATGAATGTGCAAACTATACAGTGAAGAACATAATTAAATTTATATAATTTCAAATACTAAATGGTACTCATATTAAATAATGTTTGAATTAAAAGTTGTCATTTTTATAAATAACAACATTTATACAAGTAATGTGTATTAATATTAAAAAAACATATCTTGTAAGTTGTTTATTGTTTTGTTTTATACTACAGTGAAATGTGTGACTTTTTATATGTGAAAAAGGTCGTTGCTAAAATGATTTTTGTCTTTTTTTTTTTTCTTTTTTTTTTTCGTCCTCCGACTTGACCTTTCTTGAAAAAAAATTTGAAAACTAAAAATCAAATTATGGTCGCCTTACCTGTAAAATACGATTGAAAACGTGCAATGACTTTATTTACTTATACTTTCGGTATCTATAAAAGTAGAACTTCGGTGATCGGAACTGAAAATTCCGGATTTTTTTTTTACTTTCTATCTCTCGAACCCCTCGATCTCTCGAACTTTTCTTGCGGTCCCTTGAACTTCGAGAGATCGAGAGTCACCTGTATTTTAGATGCTAAACAATTTTTTGGAGTGATTAAAAGAGGTTTTTGGGGGTATTATATGTATTCGTTTGTTATTGCAGCCCGGAGGACCGGGCTGCTCTATACCTTTTAAGTTTAAGTGTTGATGTATGGGGTTTGAGGTGGGAGAAGTTATTCAGAATTTAAGGTTTTCTAAACATTAAAAAGATTTTTAATCAGAATGTTCTTTCCCTTTATAAATTACGAGATATATAATATATTTACTTCTATAAAGTAAATTTGTAAAAATATGTTTTTTATATTTGATATATTAAGTTGCTTATCATATACTATCGAAAAAACGCCAGGTCCCTTTTTTTTTAGAACATCGAATTTTACTTTTCGCATAAAAACATACTCTACACAGTTCGTGTTTTATATTCTTGAAGTGAAAAACATTCTTTAAAATAGGTGATGCATGTGTCTAGTTTCGTATCTCTCTATCAACTGTACCAGACAGACAACTAATTAAAAGTATAAATTAAAAAATACCAGTATATACATGTAAATGTATTACTTAATCCTAAAATATATGATTCAAAATCCAATGTTCACTACAAAAAAATTGAATTCAACGTTAAATGATATGAGTGAAACATGACTATAGAATTTTTTGTTTTTAAATCGCATTGTTTTTATTGGTTTCTACGGAAGCCCAATAGTGCAAACCAAAAGCAAATATATTAGATAAAGAAAAACGAAATATTAAAGAAAACGAAATTATTAGATAAAGAAAAACAAAAACTATTAAATAAAGAAAAACGAAATTATTAAATAAAGAAAAACAAAGTTATTATATAAAGAAAAACAAAAGTATATATAAAGAAAAACGAAATTAATATGAAAAGAAAAACGAAATTATTAAATAAATCATTTCGTTTTTATTTATTTAATAATTTCATTTTTTTTTTAAATTTATTTTTGGTTTGCACTATTGGGCTTCCGTAGGTTTCAGATGATACACAAAATTACTGTATACAAAAAACTAATTCATTTTCGAAAACCCCAAAAAAATTTAGAATTCAAGACAATAAAGTTTTCAAAGAATGCAATTAATCAAATTCAGTAATTATGTATGAATACGCTTTTTACACTTTTAAACATGTTTAAATGTTAAGAAGTTTTGTATGTTAAATTTGATAATCTTTTAATTTAGATTAAATGTATATAAATTTAAGCAAAGGGTTTGAATGTTTGTAAGATACATTTTTGGCTTAAAAAAACATTATTTATACATAGATATGAAATATAAATATATATAAGGGAACAAGCAAGAAGCCTGCTATATTTACCTTTAAAATATTTCATTTGAAATATGATTTCAAGATAGAAAGGTCCAGATATTTTTTAAACTAATCTTTATATTTTGTTTTTATTATTTCTTGTTTTAGAAAATGGAATTGTTTTTGTTGCGAATAAAATGTTTTCGTTGCGAACAAAACACGGTTCATTCTACCTGTTCCCACTTTGTGAAAATCATGTAGAAAAAGGTAAGATTTTATGTGGGAATAGGTGGAATTTTGTGTAAACAAATAATTAACTATGTTCTTAAATTTAGGTATTAAGTTGCTTTTTCTTGTAAGATTTTTTTATTATTTCAAAAATCCGAAATAAATCATATTTTCTCATAGATGTATTCATTATTTTCTGTCTTAAAATGTACAAAATACAGATAAATCTAAACATTTATTGTTATTTGCAAGTGGGAATAGGTGGAATTGAGATTTTTAAAAAGTTGGAATAGCTAGAAGACACCCAAAACACTTTAGATCTTTAATTTAAAAAAAAAACTGTATTTGATATAATTAATATCTAATAAAACAAGGAAGAACTAAGATCTCTCTTTAATTTTTGTTAATAAAAAATAATCAACGAAAACAAGACTTAGTTTCTGATTTGGCCCAATCCTATTTGAAATTACTAGTAGTTTCTTTTCAACGTTTTGATTGCCTTCAATTCTAGAAAAATACTTATTTAGAAATCCGTCCGAAGTCTTTTAATATACACATGTTTCAATTTTAAATAAACCAGGAATGGTTAAAAATTGAAACATTTTAAGAGGGCATCATTAATTGCTATAGATATCTAATTTCCGTTTAACAACTTAGTATCTTTTTTGTACAGTTGAAAAATAAATAGTATGAAAAGTCAGTCATGAAAATTTATAAATTAAATAATCACAACCCTCTTTTTCCATATACCGTATCCTGTATAAAAAAAGAAAAGAATCTAAAACAGATACCTAGATGAATTTAAGAAAATTTTAAGGTAGTAAATTGTAACATAACATATAACTATTCTGATAAAAACTAGATTTTTCCTCTCTTTTTTATATTTTAATTGTCGCATACACTTCGCTACTTGTGCACTTGTCATTGTCAATTTTTTTTAAAAAGAGATCTGATCAAGAGTTTGACTTTATATCTTTTTCAATATAAAATCAATAAGATGTCAAATACGCCCTTATAACAATAAAACAGATAAACGAAGAATGTTGCTGTTTGAGAATTTTTGTAATTTGTTATTGTTTTTTTAAATTTTCAAAAATAAGTAAATGAAAAAAAAAAATAATCAGTCCCTTGATTTATAAAAAAGTATAAATTTTATACAAACATAAAATAAATACATGTATTATATGTTTTAAAATTTGAATCAACATTTAACGTCAATAGCATTGATTTTAAGAAAAAAAAACCTTCCAAATTTCAAAGTGTTTTCCACAATAAAATGATAAAAGAAACTTACAAAATTTGATTTAGGTCGATTATTGCTTCATAATCCTGGAGCCTAATTTGTACCCACTTTGAACGTCTCTGGAGTGAAAATCTTGAAATAAAGAACATGCAGAATGCCAAACAAGAAAGCAAATCTTATACCAAATAATTATACTCTTAATCTCCTCTGGAATTCCAGAACATAGAAAACATGACATTGTCGGAGTCATTCTAACCTTACCAATACACGACACCCAAAACCAGCAATGTTGTGTCATATAGATTGCAACAAGGCGTAGCTAAACGCAAAAGGGCATCAAACCAACAAAAAGCTTTAACTCGACCACAAATAGAAAAATCTGAGCGCCAATAAACCATAATCTCGGCTAAACAACCCTCTAAGTTCAACAAAAACATCAAATACCATCCACAGCATGCTCACGCCAGGTCTATATTTAGAAAGAAACACCACTCAAGTCAACTAAAACTTAATGATAAGGGTTAATTGGGAAGTTATTTTCCGCCGACGCATTGAGAATCAAAGAAAAACAAAATCATTAATAACTTTGGAGATCTGGACAACCTTACTTCAGATGACCATGCAGGCTGGGGGTATATAAGAACTAGAATGCCGAATTACAGTCTAATCTCACAGACCAAGAATCTCAGTGGGCACTAAAGGTAATACTCAGTAAATCACTTTTGTTTTGCCTCTTTTTTTTTTTTTTAAATTAACCCTTATAATTATTTAAAAATGTCTTTCTTATGTTATACAGATTTTAAAATTGACGGATTATAATTTTAATTTTGATAGATTAATTGAATGTTGGTCCTAAAAATCGCATCTAAAAATACTGTAAAATTTATATAATATTACTACAGTATATATATATATTATTATTATTTACAATTAATATCTCTTTAATGCTAATTATTTAAAAATGTCTTGGCTATGTTATAAGGGATTTAAAACGTAATATTGACGAATTTTAATTTTGTTTTATTGTCTTGTTAATTGAACTAACAAAATTTGATGCATCTAAATGTTTTAACTTCATTGTTTCAAATATAATAAATTTTATTATACATGCTATCCTAAAAGGAATGCAAATTGCTAGTTAAACTCTGTCAATTTTGGACACCCAGTTAGTTCACGTCAAATTGTTTATTTCCGTTGGTAACTGAATATTAACTTGAATATGTGCATGTAGAATAATTTTTTTAAAAAACCCTCTTTTCCTAAAGTATGTACATGTGATTTTATACCTTTATTTACTCCGATATATTGAAACTTTTCCCTGAATTTTTTTCTTATTAACTTTGAATCGTTATTTCAGTTGAAGGCCAATTATCTGATTCATACCATTATTGATAAATAAGGAGATAATATTTGAATGTTGTTCCTAAAAATCACATCTGAAAAATGCTATAAAATGAATATAATGTTACTTCATATATATTGTTATTATTTACTTTTTGGGGGAAAAATATCAATCTGTTATTAGGATCATGAATAAATGATTGTGCTGTTCTTTATTAAATAAAACTTATTTGAGGTCATATACCAAATGGAGAGTCCATAATGTAATTTTAAACTCTTGTGATTTTGTTGAAAAATTAAAAATAAAAACATCTTAGCAGAAAACAATGGATCAAGGTCGTCAGGATATTTGTCCTAATGACAAGAAAATCTAATGTCTTTTCTTCCATAGAGTCGATGCTAAGACATTGAAAAAAAAAGATGATTTAGTCTGTCCTCCATGATTTTCCCCTCATCTATACCATTATTACATGTATCATGTGTTTTGCCTTTTCCTTTTTTCCTCTCCCATTTTTTTTCTAATTATGTATATAATATATTTGTACCTCTGACCTGAATTTATATGCTGTAAATATTTTTCATTGTCCTCATGTACCATTTTAAATGATTTTGAGTGAATAAATGAACTTGAACAAGAACTTCAAAATATTACAGTAACTACATTTTCGTTATACAATCAAAAAAGTTTGGGAAAAAATTTTAAAATCAGCCGGGGAAAACACCTTGAACCTGAACCCGCAATAACATTGAAAATCTGACTATCATCAACATCAAGCAATTTTAAATATATTCCTAGAATCCGAACTGTCGAGGCAAGCAATTTCAAATTATGAGAATGGATAATGATTCGGCAATTTTAAACAAATACCGGTATTTCATTGGCAATTCAAGTTGTCTTACAGGTAATTTTGGTTTAATGATCAAATCAGTTTGCTCGTGTGATAATATTGAGCAAAATAATAACGCAATCTTACTGATTAATCATCATAAATGCAAGAAACAGACAGTTTTCTCTTATATTTCCCATTTTACCTGATCCTTTATTCAGTAAATTCAATTGCAGTTCAGACCATCGGGATCATGAAACATCAAAAACCTTTCTGTTGTACAACATGTTGTAGAAGCCAAACAGGCCAAAATAAAAATATTTTATAATATTGTTCTACAGAGTGTTGTTATCTGCAAAATTAAAGATAATTAATATATAATAACAGGAGATAAAAATTTTGACTTAAGTCTAAGTCTGTTTCATAATCCTGTTGCCTGGACATGCTAAGAAAATCGAGTTAAGCTGTAACCAAGTTATTACATTATTGGTAGATTTTTCTCAATCAAAGAATTTTTTCGTTTTCAGCAATAATGGCATCACTACCCTTTGCCCTATTTTTCTTGGGAGCACTGACTTCTATGCTGTATGCTTATCAGCCATATCCATCAAATTATCAAAGGAACTACCAACCGCAAAGGGTACCAACTCTTGTTAACAGGATGTTAAAGCGCACATATAACCAAGATCATCACAAACGGATGTCAGATTCCAAAGACTCACTTCCAGAGCATCAAAAGAGATCAAAGGTCACTATTTTGTGTAGTCCAGAGCAATGCAGGCAATTGATGGAATTCCTAAACAGAACACTGCCAAACGGCTACGAATCAATTTCTAATTTCTAGAAAAGTACACATTAAATCTGTTAGACTTAAACTGTAACAGGAGTTGTTGTTTAAATCCGAGATTTATATCAGCGTGTACATTTGTTTCCAAATGCTTTTTAATTTAAAATTTAGAGAATTTTCGCAGAATTCATATCCAACAGTTTCTTAATATTTTTAACAGTGGTACAATGTTTTCAATCACGACGAAGCATTCTCGAGATAATGAATTTTTGATTTAAGAATACTTTGAAATAAATTGTCTTACTAAAACCCATGTCATTTTAATCTTTATTTTGTGAAAAAGTAAAATAAAATACCAATAAATAAATTTTATGTTGAACAGAGTTACAATGAATATGAACACAGCATTCAGACAAAAAATTGAGATTCACATGGGTTTTATTCAAGTTCTCAAGCAGTCAGACTCTTTGCTTTCTGTTACCATCTTCCACCCAAAAGTTCAAAGCCTTCATGTTGGTGGCTAGCAAGGAAGAGCTTGATCTGTTCGATACACTCCGGTGTTTTACAATAGATGGTCACAGAAGAATCAGAACGCGTCTCCTTATGGGACGCCATGGGCAAGAGAGTTTTCGATTCGATCCTCTTCGATGAAGATTGGTCGTTGCTCTGGTCCATGAGTGTTGAAGATTCATGAGATAATGGTAACCCTTCTGTGATGACCGACATATAGACGAGAGCGACTGTCATAACACTCATGTACTGTACTGATATCATGATCCTTTTGAAACGATAATAAAATACACACATATAATTAAATAAAAATTACTTGCAACGAGATGAAATCATTTTTAAAAAGTGAATTGTAACATCCGCTACGGTTTGCTTAAAAATAATTTGTAGAATTATATACCATTCAGTATCATTTCTTAGCTACAAAATTAAAACATTTAAAGCAATTGCAAAAAAAAAAAGAGAAGAAATTGTAGAATTTTCTTAAAACAATTTTAACTATTATCTTAAAAAATGCTAAATATATTTAAGCACAAAGAGAAGCAAAATTTTGATCACTTACAGCGGTGAAATATATCAATATTTCCAAGGACACGAGTGTAGTTTTGTATTATTACAATCTATATAGGTTATGAAGACAAAAACACGCACAAGTTACCTGTACTGATGTAGGCGGCAAACGAAGTCATTGTAGATTCTACGTCCCCCACTCTTCTTATATAAACCAGATAAAACCCCCATTAACAAAAGCTTAATATTCATGCAAGATGTATTGTCAAAAGTTCAAACAGAATTGGGTGGAAAGGTCTAAATTAAGAGGCTCTTTTCAGGGTTTCTATCAAAACGAGTAAAAAGAACACTGCAATGAATAAAATAAAAATGTATTGTCCAGAAGTTCATATTTGTTTTAAGTTTCTACATAAATAAACATCGTATGATTTAACATTATACCGTAATCGTAATCGTTTTACAGTGAAGATTAATTTGTCTCCTTAGATACTTTAATTTTCTATAAATTAAAATCTAGGCATTCTAAAATCATTGAAAGCTACTTTTTCAATACAAATGAACTTGTAAATTTCCCTACCTTGACAATGGTCATTTGGAAACCTTTTTTTAATAATTAAAAAATCTTAATGGTGCACACAAGCACTCTGAAGGGGATGTTTCTGATTGACGATATACTAATATAAATGGTTTTTTGGGGACCATGTCCTCCAACAATCTGTTGGAATTCCCATGTGTACCAACTGTACCCCTTTATAAGCAGACCCATTTTTTGTATTCATATGAGGCAGATTTAATATCATGTATATGAGAAGTAGAAAACACTTGCTGTGGTCTTCAACTCGACATTCACATATATGGACGACATATTATTATTAACAATAGTTATTTCCATTCTTATGTCAAAACGATTTATCCCGGTTAACTTGAAATAAAGGATATCACAGAGTCTGACACGGCTGTTTTATTTTTGAATATTTCATTAGAAAAAAGACGTTAATGGTAACCTAATAACAAAGCTTTATGGTAGATGTGTTGACTTTAACCTTTCAATCGCCAACTTCCTTTACTTTTGCAGTTACATACCTTTATCAGTATCGCTCATTGATTCGATAAGCAAATACATGTTCTACTTATGAACAATTTCTCAAACGGTGTAAGTTATTGACAAACAAGTTGATTATAAAAGACTTTCAAAGTCTTCATTTCGTAATTTCTATGCTCGATACAAAGACCCTCTGAGCATATACAATCTACCAGGGGGTCAAATGCTGACTGGCATTTTGCATACTAATTATTAGGCCATTACTTACAAACTGAATTGTCGACGAATTTGCCATTATATCCCAAGCATGACAAGGAGCACATGGCGGGCGGCACAGTATGTTCACTCGTAGATGACACCTTATCCCAACTCTGATGTTGAAGAGGTTCCTGTTTACTCTGCTCCAGATTTAAATCGGTTGAATGGACTTTTGAGCTTGAATACTAATCGTTATCTCCATATATTTCATTTAAGCAATGTAAACGTCTCTGTTTCATACTGTTTATTTCAATGTGCATGTATGTGCTAGAATATTAGATGTTTAGTAATATCAACGTTTTGCAGAAGGATATGGAAATAACGAACAGTATTCAATCTCAAAGTCCATTAAACAATACAAAATAAGAGCAGAGCAAACTCCTGAAACATCAGAGGTGGGATCAGGTGCCATGGAGGAGTGAGCATCCCCTGCCGACCGGTCACACCCGCCGTGTGCTCGTTGTCATAATCAGGATATAACGGAAAAAATCCGTGGTCAATTCAGTGTATAAATAATGGACTAACAATTGGTATGAAAAACGTCAGTCAGCATTTCATTCAATGATAAATTGTATTTGCTGACAAGGTCATTGTATCGACCATAGAATTTACGAAATGATGACTTTAAACGAGACTGTTGATATTCTTGTTTCATCAACTTGCTTGTCAATAATTTACCTCGTTTAAGAAATTGTTCATACTAGAGCATTCTAGCATATCGAATCAACTGAGATATAAATACTCCGTATGCAGGTGATGAAGGTATATTGCTGCATAAGTAAGGGAAAATAGAAAATAAAGTCAATTTATCATATAGCTTGGTTGTTAGATTACCATTAGTGTCTTTTTCAAGTAAAATTCCAAGTATAGCAGAAATGGTATCTTTTATCAGTGAAATTCAATGTTCAATGCTACCTTTTAAGGACAAATCCAAGTAAAAATATTTCACTATCTTTTCCCACAAAATTCAGATACAGAAAATATTTCTATTGAAAACTTTTACAATGCTTTTATAACATTTTATAAAACTCTCATAGAATGTAGGCAAAAAAATTTCTAACTTAAATAGAAAATGGCACAAAGACGCACAAATTTACGATATCGTTATATTCTTTAAATTTTTGTTATGTATAGTTTTGAATTGAAATCAGAAAAAAAATATAACCTGCATTCGATGCACCAATTTTATGTTTTATTTAGCCTAATAAAAGCATATGACAACAATGTTATATAGTTAAAGTAAATTGTCATTCAGTATTAGAATCAAATATCAAGGCCGTAATAAAATAAGTTTGCCAGAATGTTTTGGGTGTAATATGAATCATACCATAACACTTGTCAGCAAATTGTAAGGTAAAAGATGTTCTAAGTTTATTAAATTTGGAGCTAAAACTTAATTATCGTAGAAAGCTAAAACAGAGAAGAAACACACAACTCCACGACTATAATATGTATGACATTTATATTTGTTAGAATCATAATTTTTTTTCCTGAAGTAATATCTAGCCACCGTAATAAACCTCTGGTCGCCTCAAGTTACTGGACTCCCCGTATTTATTCATGTGTTTTGAGGGAGGCATATAATGGCAGGTAGGCATCTTTAGTGGGAAATATGAAGTTAATTAATTATCCATCTATATTAAATAATCATTAATAAGCGAACCTGGAGTGATATGTCTAATATTTAAATTGAAATAGTGATTAAACTATGTACTTTGGTGTCGATAAAATGGCGCCTTAGAGCTCATGACGTCAATGTTTTGCAGTAAAACTCACGATTTAGCGCCCATAGACATCACTTTGGAATGTTAGAAGTGCAGCGGGATTATTATGGGTTAAGCCTCCCTCTACAATCACATGATGTGCATGAGCAACACCAATGGTTTCACTGACAAAGCAGAGAAAAGGGAAACTTGGGGCATTATCAACTCTTTTTCTTTCTTTCAACTGGGAAAAGTGAGAAGTGTAAAAAGATGTTAGCTCACAAGTAAGTTGTAATAAGAAAACTGAAAATTAAGTTTTATGGTTAATTAAATAAGAATATAATTATTCATTGATAATGCCGATATTTATAAAGATTTCTGTTACACAGCTTTTTATTTCAAATTGGCGAAATTCATTAATTTGTCGTATAAAATACCCTCCCTCTCAAAAATGTTCAAACAAGAAAACAAATATTGAATATTTATAAAGTTTACAGTAATAACTCTCCATCATTATATTGTTCAAACAAGAAAACAAATACTGAACATTTATTAAGTTTATAGCAAATAATCTCCACTTAAAACCTGCATAATAATATATCAATAATTTACGAGATAAAGCAAGCACTTTGCTGTGTAACGGAATTTTATCAATCACTCTGTCTTTTCCTTTTCTTCTTGTGATGATTTCAATATAAGGTGTGAAAATCTGGCCACAGTCTGTCTTTTCTGTAGTTTATTCAACTTGTTAGGGTTTTTGACTTGTTTTGAGGAATTTGCGTCTTCTAAACTTTTCTGAAAAAAGGATTAAAATATATGCTTTTAAAAATACTCAACACGTAATATGTAATTAATTACAAAAATTTATATGCATCTTTCCAAGTTAAGTTAAGCATTCACTGAAATTATTGATTACGTTTGACATACTCAAAATTTTATATATTTTAAAAAACAATCAAAACCAAAATTTAAAGAAAAAAAAACACATTCTGAATGAAATCATTTGCTCAATTTTGCAAGTTACAAATAAATTATTGATTAATTATAATGATAAAAATGCTTTAAAAACTTTTTTTTTTAAATACATGTAGCATCAACTCTATGATAAAACTTTTGCTAGCTATAGAATATACCAATTTTTTCAAGTTGGTATTTAGAAATTTTGAGGATTTTTGCAAATAAAAACATTCATATGGAATGTTTGTAATAAACCTTTTAATAAGTGGCGATAGATTAAGATAAAGAAATTAGTGAGAATAACAACAAACCTGATAAACTTGCACCTTTTCTTCAATTTTTCTCTTTTTTAATAAAATCTACAAGGATAAAGTAGTCAATGATAAAAGATTTTAAAGATATTTTATTTAAATTTTATATACGTTAATAAATTCTTTTTTCTCGTATTTTAAAGCGTAGGAAAAAAAAAACGTGTATACTAATTTTCTCATAATATACAATATACATTTTATTTTAGAAGTCATTCACATACTATAGAAAAAAATGTACATCAGTGAATTCCATTTTTTCTTGTTATTTTCAATGGTAGAAGTATGTGCATGTATTAGCATAAAAAGTATAATTTTTAAAAGCGGGTTCTGAATGATGTTGCGCACTTTAAATGAGTTGTGTTTCGTAGCAGTAAACACAACAATCCAAAACGTAAGTAATGTTTCTGTTTTAAGTATATTTTTAGTTTTAAAGATAGCGCCCAAACTTAGTAAGTACCTTGATGGTCACCATAACCATAAATGTGAGCTGATAAGCGATGTAAAGAATGACAGTTGCGACGAAGGCCCAGAGATCCATAGTGCCCTGTGTATCTCGGTCATCCTCAAAACGTGAAACGACGATATGCCATATACACACCACGTAGTTAAACAGCATACTTATTAACAAATATCTATCCTGAAAAAAAAAAATATATACATATAATATATTTATCCCAAAAAATCCATGGTCATAAAACTCCATGGTATTGTAAAATAAATTCTTGCTTACCTTCAAAGTATTCGATTGTTTAAATTATTAGATAGTTTTCATATTTTATGGTTCTTTCAATACTATTTTATTTTTAATACAATTTTTCTAAATAGACTGATATACTTACTAGTAAAGTTTGATAAGGTATTTTTGGAATGCTTTGATTGGCCATGAATCTAAAGGCGACTCCAGTTAATGCTAAAATAAAACCCAGCAAAAGACGGCGCTGTGGATT